ATATATATATATATATTTATTTTTCACATGTCTCTTTTTGTCATTTTCACCTTCTTCAAACGTGCAGTCCATGGTGGTGTCAGGAGTACTGGTGGTGGAGGTGGGAGGGTTTGGTGTGGTGGTGAGGATGCTGCCATCACAAGACTGACCTCTGATGATGTGGATATCATCCAGGGAGAAACTTCCTGATCCCGAGGCTGGACATCGAGCTTGTAAAATAATCTGTAATATTGAATTCAGTTAACTCATTTTATATGGCAGCAATAAGAATAAAAGTTATCTCTGGGAAAAAGAAYGAGACATTTTGAAGATTAAAATGAAATCAAACATTGAGCGGAACTGGAAAAAGACTCGACCTGGTGACGACCTGATGCGCTGTACTCCACTCTGTCTTGGATCCACGAGTTATTCAGAAAGCCATTAGTGTTGAACAGCGGACGCAATTCACCCGTTTCATTGACAAATACTGTTAGCGYAATGGCTGAGGGCCCTGAAAGCACCAAAAGTAATTATAAAAAACAAACAAACAAAATGTACTCGTAGGAAGCAGGGGTGCAAAGGGTGCTACAGCACTCCTTGATGAATGTCCATATTCAGCTAAGACAACATACATTAGTGTGCATGTCTCTTCACAAATATTTTAATATGTGTGTCTAAGATCAAATAAATTCACACATTGCCCCAACAAACCCTGAACTCAAACACTTTCTCTCAGACTTGACAAAACTCTTTTTATAACAACAGATTTATTGAGGGAATAAAACAATCAAACTTCTGATAAGAGGCACGGTGCACAGTTTGATAAAGAACTGAGYGCAATAAACCTACATGAAAGAAAATCAACAGATGTGTGTGTTTTTTAAAATTAAATAATCATTTTTAKCCTCCTCTCTTGATATTGGCAAGAATTTAATTTAACCTGGTGGCTCAGTGCCGTTGCAATTTGTTAAACAGGAAGTTCATCAAACCTCTCACAGGTATTTTCTGTAACACATCCTTGACGGTTCTTTATAACAAAATGTTTCCAGTTAGCTAGTGCTTAAATCTTTATGTAAAAAGTAAAAAAGGGTAGACTTTCTGTTTGCCCATTTCTGATACTGATACCAAACACGGCTGTAATGGAAAAGATCAGAATTAGTGTCATCTTGTGCTGAGGAACTGTCACGTAGAAAACGKGTTGGATTTGTCTTTTCTTGCTGATGCAGCTTTAATAAAGACCTTTGTCGGAGCTGGATCAATAAAAAAGTCAAAGGTTTTCTGATATGAACACAACGATAGATATAAAAAGCTTTAAGGTGGAAATATTCTGCCACTCAGGACTGTATCAGTCTCTGGACAATAAGCTTGGTCTTCCTGTCTCCCTTGTTATCTCTGCTGTGACACAAAGCATCATCGGCCATTGTACTAAACTTGACCTCGCATGAAAACCTAAAATGTAATAAAACAAAGTTTAACAAAGACAAAGTAAAAATTGTACTCACTGCCTGTGGACCACCCACGAGCAGTGTGCCAAATCTGGAGGCACGCTCGATCTACGGCATCCATAAATTCACTTTCCAGACGGGCAGTTTCTTCTTTATAAGATTCAAAGGGTGTAAAATAGGCAAAGTGACCTGTGGAGACAATATTCAGAGATAATTTATCACTGTGCTTGCTCACATATATTTATATTGTGAACATTGCTTCTTTAGAACTTAACACCACGAGTAAGACTTGTTGCAACAACAACCTTAAATATACTTTTTTTTACCTTACCAATATTTTTCTCACTTTCTTCAGTATAACTTAAAGGTTTTGTTGAAAAATACAGTTGCGTACCTAAAGCAGAATTTGTTGTGTGGTCTCTTCGTGGAACCATAGAGCCATCACTTTCACCAGAGAGCCAGTCCCAGTCCACTCCAKACTCCGGTGGGGGGCTGTTCACCCAACCACAGAAGTCCATCTCAAAGTCACAAAAACCTTTGGGAGATAGAACAGATACTCCATAAACACAGCAATAATCAGCTCCTCAATGTGTTTGCTCAATGTTTGTGGCAATCAGTAACCTGTCGGGGGACAGGGGCCATTCAAGACTGTGAGGTCATCAATGGCAATATCTCTCCTTGGTCCATCTCCAGCTATTGCCTCAAAGATCACCTTTCAAAAAGAGGGACAAACTGATTTTAATTTGATTATTTAGACACAAAGCAGTTCACTACCGTCTATTACCAGATGATTTGACATTGTACCTACCTGATAGTTTGTATCATGGCTGAAAAGCGTCACTCTTCCGTGTCTCCAGTGGGTCCCCTGATCACCTCTCCTGGTCCATTTCTTGGTGGGGCTATCATGGCTTTCAGCAGTTTGAGTGTAAACACTGAGTTCACCAACTCCTCTTCCCTCCATGTAGTACCAGAACATTAGGCATTCCCCATTAGAGGGGGTGGGCTCCATCACTGCAGTCACCACAGCGCCCCTGGACCCCACAGGGTGTTTCCACAACTCAGCACTCAGGTAATAACCTGCACACGTGAGACATTATGGCACAAAGTGGCAAGCACAGATCAGCTGCAGACTCTTATCTCACAGGGCTGCAAACCTTGCTCTGTCCCCAGAGTGTGATCTTTGATGGGACCCGAAGAGTTGGCTGGTTGGGATATCCCAGTAATGCGGTTCCAGCTGAAGTCTGTGGATGGCTGGGGCTGCAGGCCACAGAGGGAGCCCTGGAAGGTGCACTCCCTTTCAGGCGGACAGGAACCGTTTACACTGGCAGACACTAGGATGTCATCAATGGCTATGTTCCCTTGATTACCTCCCACCACAGCTTCTATAATAAACTGAAGAAGAGTTTGATTCAATTAACATTTGACCATATAAAGCCAAAAAGTGGGTAAAGATCATTCACAGAGCACGTTTCAAGTGGAAGGCAAAGAGTTTTTCTTAAGAAATGCATAAAACCATCAATTTAAATAATCTTGCCACCACCAAACAACACATGGGTCTATAAAAATACCTGAATTGGTTTGTCACTGTTGAAAGTAAGATCTGCAAATCGCCATTTATTTCCCTGGGTTCCACTTCGCATCCAAACAACTGTTTCGGGCTCACCAAAGCGCTTCGCAATAAACTTCAGCGAGCCTAAATAGACACAGCATTTTGCACATCAAAAAAAGTAAAACGTTCTGATGCATTTTGTTTCAAGAACAGAACTGGACCACGTACCAATGCTGTTTCCAAATATGTAGTAATAGAAGCTGACACATATGGTTTGACCTGCAGGTTGAGGGAAGCTGATGAGACGAGCTGTTGATGAAATACTCGTGCCRTAAGCAGTTTGGATCAGCATAAAGTAGCCTGTGGGAAAAAAAACCCCTGAGTGGTCAAAAACTTCATTTGATTCATAACAGCAGTAAAAACCAGTAGTCAACTTCAGTGTCATTCTAACTGAATTCACATATTTGGGTGATAATTCAACTAACAGGAATTCCGTCTTAGGAACCGGATTCTCACCGTTTCCAGTAACATCTTCATACCACCCATTAGTTCTCTTCCACTTCAGACTAGCTGAGTAGTCGTGGTACCACGAACAGGTATCCTTTTCAAAATCACACGACAGACGATCTGACCCGTCTGGGATGTCTTCCTCTCCACAGTTCTCAAAGCTGATGTCATCCAGCATGACATCCATGGAGTCCAGAAATGAAGAACTGAATAAAAACACCAGCTGTACAAAAGAAAACCCAAAAAAACTGCATTTGTTTTGAGAAATCAATTTGAATTATTGACATTTTAATTGTTTTTGGCTATGTTGGTCATTTCTTCACACACCTTTTGAGCTAATAGAACAGTTTRTTAGAGGTTTGTTTGACTTTAAAGCAAATTTATTGAGGATTGTCAACAAATGATTGGATTTCCTTCTTTTATTGTTTTTGACCTCATGAGTCTTTATGATAGGAAATGCTTTGCAAAGTAATAAAATTTATTATGCTTTATTGTTTCCTCAAGTKAAAATACGTAATGAAGCACAAAAAGCCGTGTTAGGATCAGTTAAGATGACAATGATGTGAAGTTAAACAACATTACATGTATGTAAGGACATAAATCACCTGCAGGTGGAAAAAAAAGTAACAGTTTTTGAAAAAATGGGATATGTGTATGAGTTAAAGACACGTGTAGCTCCTTCACCAACCTTGTAGCCTCCTGGCAAGTTACCAACAAAAGCTGTGGCATTCTCCCAGCCGTTTGTCTGGCTCTTAGAAATCTCTAGCAAATCTTTCTCTTCTCTGCCTCGGACCGTTTTTACATGAAGTGTTGATAATGATATTGATGAAGGTTTGGGGTCATATATGTGGTACCAAAAGCTGAAATGTATATTAAATAAGCAATTTTTGTTACAGAATACACAAGTTTCTTGACTGTGAAACAGACACAATAAATATTGGTTCTAATTACCTGATTTGACATCCTAGACCAGCTGTGTGATTTACAGAATACTCCAAATAAGCATATGAAAACATATCTCCTTGTKTACCATCTATATGCATGACGTGTCCTGTGTCCAGTCAACAAACAAAGAAACGTTATAAAGATCCTCATTTGGGTCTTTATTCAATAGAGCTTTGATTACATTTCAACAATTGTGATTACCCCAAGGGCTCCCTGTGGTGTGATCCAGTCCTGGGATGGAGGTAATGTTTGCCATCTGCCAGCTCCATCTGTAGTTATGTGAGCCACTGGTGTCCTTCCATCCACAGGTGTGATCTTCAAAGTTGCATGAGCCTTAATAATAATTAAAGAACACGTGATGTTGAGTTTAGAGAGTGCAAATTGCATCGAAACTTGTGTTTTTTATTAAAACATTTACGTTGTAAAATTAAAGTGTAATCTGCTCTGGACACAGTCATTCAAGCGCACCTTATCAGGTACACGTTATTAAATGCAAAGCTGGGGATTTTGCAATGTAAGTGTGATGCGGAAAAGACAAACTTACCACAAAACTCCTCATCTGAACCATCTTTGCAGTCCTTCTTAAAATCACAAACGAGTCGAGCAGGAAGACATTCTCCAGACGTGCAGCTAAAGTTCCCATCAGGACAACAGGACACGATGGCCAGCAGTACTGTAACAAGTTTCACCACAAAGAGATGCAAAAAAAAAAAAAAAACAATTAACAACTTCACCTTCTTCTGATTTGTAGAACCTGTAGCATGAATTATTACAGAGATATGAATTAAATTTAACTCCTACCTGACAGCAACACAACTAAAACTTTCATCTCTGAATAGTCTAAACACAGAAAAAAAAAACAACTCAAAAAGACACAAGATTCTTAAAGCATGATGACTTGCTAACGCTCAAATTCACAGTTTGTGCTTGAATTAGCAGAATGACATCTCTATTGCCTCATCTGAGAGTCTTTATCTGAAAATTCAAGCTTAAAGTCCATCGTGCACTCCATAACCTCCTCCTTTTTTCACTTTACTGCACGTCTCATTTTTACAGACAAACGGGACTTAAGATCAGAGTGACCGATTTATGATCCAGATAAGAGAACCAAAATTTGCAACATTCTGCTCCAAAAACATTTTTTTAATTTACAAATTTTAAGGCATTTTAGTAAAAGTCTAAGTGGATGAAGTGAATAATTTGTCTTTTAATAATTTGACATTTTATCACTGTAGTCAGCGGTTTTATTACTCAGGTAAATGCTGCAGTGGCTCTTAAAATAAATCTTATCTGACTTTCAGGAAGTATATCAGAATACCATGAAAAAAATGATACAATATGTTTCAAAAGCACTTTTCAAATCAGAGTTGTACATAAAACGTTTTACTCACAGATATAAAACAGGTAGAAAGTCTGAAGAGCCACAACGTCTCTGTTTAATATCTTTAAATCATATGTGTTACTAACTATATGGATYATGTTTGAGTTGATCAAGTAAAATAATACTATAAAGTATATAAAACACAAAGCTAACAAAAAAGTCCACCTGTTTTTTTCTTTTAATAAAGCAACCCTGATTTATTTGTACTTGAGTTGACATAGAAACTGATAACTAAAAATCACAAGTAAATCAGTTTCTGCATGCAGAAATGTCACTTTGTCATCATCATACAGGTGCATCGACTTAGGTTTTAAATGGCCTTTTTTATGTTTCTTGTTTTATACAATGAGATACAGGCTTAACTGTGAAGCRTGTTGACACAAGTTAATCACGTCTCCTTTGGGGTTTCCTTGGATTTATTTGAAGAMCTGTCTCAAACTAATCTTGCAAGAGGGTGAAGTTGGTTAATATTATGCCAAATATTTGTTGTATGTTCAAAACTCCTGTACCGCTTTATGTTTGGCAGACTTTGCTTTGCGTGTGGCGTAATTTAGCATGTAGCTAAATCTAATTATTTCTTTCCTAGCMTTGAGTTTTACTGTTGCAGAAGCCCCACACAGGCCTCGAGGATTCATATTTCAGCACGTCTGCCTCAAAAACAGAGAGGATAACCAAAGAGGAAGTGAAAACAAAAAATGCTATAAAATGTAAAGGAAAAACTGGACATCTGAATTTCTCCACTCTAATACAGGATGTCGTGTTGCTTCACTCAGAGTGAACACAATGTTCTTGCCATCAGCAACAATAAAAATGTCAGGAACAAGATATCTAACTTCATGAGTAATTGAAGACCTTTTATAATTGATTTGTTGTGTTTTTTCAGTTGCTCAAGAGGGGAAACATCTAACCACAAATACAGTAACAACATGCAATTACAATRTATACTGTATATTTAATTTTAAAACTGTTGTATCATGAGGAATTATTACAAAATGTTTTTGTTCATACTGATGCAGTTTTCAACTGTTAAGTTTTTTAAAGGTTCCATTAAAATATTTCACGATATTTCTACACAATAAATGATTGYGAAACAATGTTCCTGTGCTCAGAATTCTTGTTTAATTAACAAATCTTAGCCAAGTTCTGATATTCAACTGTTTTTGGGACACAGAGGAGTTTACGATCAGACCAAAAGAAACCTTGAATCATCAACACTCCACCATCGTGCTTGACAGTACAGGAAGTTTTTTTTTTCTTTTTTACTAAATATAACTTTGTGGTTAAATAACTCCCCTTTGGTCATTTAGTCAGTGTTAATGTGTGAAAAAACGTTTTCTTCATTTCTTCAAATCACACGTTTCTTGATCATTCATTTCTCAGCAATCTGTAGCAACAGAGATGAAGCTCTTTAACATTTTGACCATTACTGATAAAAACCTCAGGGATACTTTTAGTTTAACACAGCTGAATGCTCCAAAGTAACACATAAATATCTGCATTTACGCTCCCTAATAATCAGATGATTTATGAGTTGCAGTATCTGGGTGCTAGAAATCCTTATGGTGTAAGCAGAAATTGTATCTTCTTTATTTTATAAAATTGTTCTACATTCTGATTTCATTTTGTTGTGGGTTTATTTCCTAATTATTAAATAAAAGACTCAAACATTGACAGCTGAAGTGATTWATTTTGGAGACAATGCAGTTTCACATAATTTGGACAGCCTTGAAATTTGTCTTTGCATGACAAATAAGCCTGTTTTCATAACATTGGTTTACATTTTAATTAAATGTTGATGGTGTAAAATGAATTTAATTGGATATAACTTCCTAACTTTAACATGAAAGAAGAGCCATATCAATGTCTATGAAAATTATAAGCTCATATTTAATAATTTCTTTTCAAAAGTAAAAACCAGAAAGCRTCTGAAAAAATCTTGAACTAATTCACAGAATTAGAAAAACTCATTACCTGAATGGAAAATTGTTATTTATTTACATGTTTGGTAAAAACCCAGGCAAATTATTTTTATTACTTGTGAACTCTAAACCTACATTTCTCAGGATTTTTGTGATTTCCTGTATTTTGCATTAAAGGCATGGATTTTTCTTTACCCTAAACTTTTCAGACTTTGTTTTAGTCAATGAATGGAAAGTAACTGAAACCTTTTTTTTAGAGTGTGGCATCAGTGCAAAAAGCATGTTTGTGTATGTGTTTGCGTGCATGTTGCCCCTGCTTCCTTCCTTCCTAACTGCCCCCCTCTCTTGCTTCTTTTTTTCCCTACCAGGGGCAAAATGCTGAAATGTGTCATTCTGAAACATGACAGTTTCTCAATGAAAAGGGGAAAAAAGAGGAGAGCATGTCAGTGTACTGTTGACTCCCTCCTTGTCATGTTCACACTCTTACATCCTTTGCCTGCAAAGCGTGGATGATGTCTGCTGCTTCGAGACTTAGAAGGATGTTGACTCCAAGGATAACTCTTGCAACCTTTGTGCTCCTCATTCAAACATCTCATTACTCAACGGCAACTAATGCTAATGGTGAGTATTTTCATGCAACGCTTGTTTTCATTGCTTTTGATGGTCTTGTCGTGCAAAATCATTTTGTTTTGCACCAAATCACTGAAACATCTTTGTGCAGGAAGTGATTGCAATCCTAATATTTTCAGCTTTTGGGGGTAATTATCTGCAGCATTAATTCTGTGCAAAATAAACAAGAAAATTACAATCACATTTTAATGAAGTTCTAACTTTAAAATGACCATGCTTCTATGAATTATTGCAATACTTTGAACAAAGAGGCTTTATAGTAGAAAAAAGTGGTTGATGTCAAAAATAATGAAAAACAAGCGCTAAAATGAAAATCTAATTTGTATTTTACACTTTTTTTAAAACATGCATTCAAGAAAAATGCAAAAAAATAATTCTGAATATCAGATTTTGTGCACAGGCAGGTTTTTCAAATTCAATTAATGCTCTGGTTTGAAGCTTTAACAGAAGTTTTACATTGCAGATTCCCCATTTACACTTGTGAACAAGGCYACTGGGTTTTGCTTGGTGAAGAGATCTTCCCGTTGCCAAGACATTCGCTGGACAACAGGCGACCGGCTTTTTGTGACTTCGACCAAAAAGTGCATCGGAGCGCAGGGCAGAAATGTGGGGAGTGAAGTGAGCCAATATGACTGCGACGAGAAAAGCTCACTGCAGAAGTGGGAATGCATGAATGGAACAGTGCTCGCTCTCAAAGGCCAGCAGTTATTCATTGAAGTTAGAGACGATGAATCAGTCATGCTCTCCAGAACTATTGGGCCAAATAACCACCTTACAATCCCAGGCACAGCAAGCGGTGCCTGCACGAGAACATACAGAGGTACATGCATTTGCATTGAGAGTGGAAGTGTGTGCAGCCACATAAAAGCAAAAAAACAAGACATGACAAAGATGGAAACAGTTTAGTTCTTGTTTTTTGGGAGGCTGCTGTGAAACACATTCACTCTTTTTTCTCTCACTTCATTGGTCTTTATATTTAAATGCAATTTTATCCCAATTTAAATTTTGATTCCAGGTCCACATTTACTTGATGAACTATTTGTTTCCCCTGCAGAACATTATACCATCGGTGGGAACTCTTTTGGCAAGATCTGCATGTTTCCCTTCATGTACAAAGACCGATGGTTTGCAGACTGCACTACGTTCGACTCCAAATCGAAGCGCAACTGGTGTGCAATTGAGACCAAATATGAGCACGAACAATGGGGATACTGCCCAACTTCGTGTAAGTTTGTCAGCTTTGAACCTCAGGCACACATGAAGAACAACATTCTGATAAAAACACACAACATGCTCCTTTGGTCTTTGGTACATATTGAACTTGAAAACACTACAAACCTAATGTATTATTGTCACACAGAAAACAGGAAGTTATTTTTTTATTACTAAACTATTTGAAAGAGTTATTTTTTTTCTGTGACTATTTAGCCACTGAACACTGGACCAAAAATGTTGTCACCGGAGCGTACTATCAGGTGAACGCGCAGTCAGTTCTGACCTGGGCTCAAGCTGACACCAGCTGCAAACAGCAGGCCGCTTCTTTGGTCAGCATTGTGGATCCTGCTGAGAAGGCCTTTGTCACAGGTAATGTGCCATCTACTGGATGTTTAAGGGGCACCAGGACTGACACACAAGCAGAAGTTAACCACTTGTTTCACATGGGTTAATTCCCATATTGCACAATAAGACACACATTTTTGTTCTGTGGATATCTCCAGTCTCCACAAACATTGACTGCATTGAGTTAAAACTCGTCATTTCTATTTGTTCTACCTTTTTTTTGCTTAATGCTCAAAAACTTTGTTAACTTTCATCTTAAATAACATAATTAAAAATTAATGATGAAATCCCTATCGGTTAATTTCACACACTGATCTAAATTCAAGCATAATGTCCAGGCTGACATAAAAAATTAAAATGTATCAAAATGAGTTAAGTTAACATTTGAGATGATTTTTTTTGTAGATGCTTCAAAACCCTTTCCATTTCTAGTTCTCTACGAAAAACAGCTCATACAAGGACAAAACTGTTACAAAAACAAAGTTCATACTAAACCATGCATCAGTAAAAACAAGAACTTTTTCTTAAAATTTTCTAAAGCCTTATAATCTTTACAKATCTTTGTTGTTGTGTTGCAGAACTTATGCTTAGAACTTAAAAAGAGGAACAATGTATTTATTCTGGTTTCTTTTCCCCACTTCACTTTAAAAACACAAACACTCAGCACTACTGGATTCAGGGAGAAACAAACTCTGGATCGGGTTAGTTTTGGACCCAGAACATGGCTGGCAGTGGACTGATGGGAAGCCTGTCCGCTATCTAAGATGGGATACTGGTGAGTTTTTACTCTGAGCAAATGAGTTGTTGACAAAAGAGAAAACTATTGAGAACCGTGTGAATTCTGTGCTGTAGTAAGGCAGGAAAAGTGAAAGATCAGTTTCAGCTTTTTCTAAGACAAAAAATTATTTCTGGCAGAGATGAAGCTTTTACATTCACACAGAACCCATGAACATGAAAATTATGATATTGCCAAATATTTATAGTGAAATGCTTTCATTGCATGTTGTCTTATTAAATATGAACATCCACCAGGAAGGGCTGAGTGTGCTTCCCTCCAAACCCCAACTTCCTGTGGTCATGACTATAGAATTAGTATGTACTGGATATCATTCTGTGACTAAAAATGTAACTAGAAACACCCAGTTGTTATTTAATTCCAAATCTGAATTTTATAAAAGTCCATTTTGTAATTATCAAAGTGTTGATGKGAACTGCTTTACCCTACCCTTGAAAAAAAGCAAATTTCAAGTAACTCATTGATTTTATTTTAGGAAATCCACTTCCCAATCCTGGACACAGCTGTGCCGTTCTGGATGTTTCTGGCCAGTACAAATGGCAGAGTTCATCCTGCTCCAAGAAAATGGGCTACATTTGTTACAAAGGCGGAGACCTGCCAGCTCCTCAGCAAAGTACAGAACATCTTCCCACTTTACTTGTTTTGTTTCTTTTTTTTTTTTTGCTTTTGACCGGCTGCTGTAGGAACTTATTTAAAAGAGAAGCAGTGTGTGACATCACTCTATGTTTGTTCTTTTCATTAGTTGAGCAAGGGTTTTGCTCAAACCCTTGGATCCCATACAACGGCCATTGCTTTCACCTTCAKCGTGCCGTTCAGACTTGGCCTGATGCTCAGAGAGAGTGCCGYAAGGAGGGAGGCGATCTCGTGAACATCCGCAATGTGGAGGACCAAAGCTTCGTCATTTCTCAGCTCGGTTATGGTACGTTACAATCCTGACAAGGGCAGATATGTAGAACTTCARCTGCATTACAAAACCTAACATGGTACAACAACACAACAAATACAAATAGGAAAATGATTACTTGTTTACAGACTTTTTTGCATTATTCTTTAGTGTGGAATTTAGCATTTACAATTAAGATTAAAAAACTAGTATCAAAACAAAAAAATATTTCCAATCAGACTGCTTTTGTAACATCCATGTCCTGCTGATAGATAACATTTTAGCTCTTTCCTCCTAAGAAGTCATTAAACAGTCAGTGATAACTTGTGCTAAATGACCTCCCCCACCCCYAACCCAACTCACTCAAACCAGATGCCTACTTGAAACAGTTGCATATAATTCTTGCCTGTTTACAAGTCTTGAAAAGAGGAAAAAGGCAAAACACARCATGACATTTACCCCCACCTTTCTTATGAAGAGGGCATTTATTTGATTCTTTTTTCCACAGCGTCCRCAGATGAGCTTTGGATTGGACTGAATGACAGGACCACAGAAGGCCTTTTTGACTGGAGTGACCACTCCACTGTCACCTTCACCAGCTGGGAGTTTGGAGAACCAACTGTCTCCTCTGAGGATGAAGACTGTGTTCTCATCAGAGGGAAGGTAAGGAGCATCAGAGTATACAGTCATTTTAACATATGCTATTTAGAAAATATAATATATATTCAATAAATAGTGGGGTTTTTCATTGATGTGTTTATATTTTAGCTCCAAACTGTCTATTGAAACAATTTGTCCAATTGTCGTTGGGTTGTTTGTGAAACTAAATCCACTAAAGAAAAAAAAAGCAAATGCATTTTCTTTTTCTTGCAGAATGGGAACTGGGCCGATCGCTCATGTGCAGAAAAGCATGGATTTATTTGTATGAAGCAAAGTTCYACTGAAAGAACTGGAGATGAAGTGGAGATGGACATTGGCTGCAAAGCTGTGAGTGAATTATCATTGKTGTGATTAAAATGACTCTTTTGTTCTCAAAACAACTGATTACAGAATCTGGCTCTCCCCTACAACGGCCTTGATCTGTTGACTAAATCCTTCCTGGCTGGATTACGTCGATAAGGCTCTGCCCCATACCTTCCCCMCTCCTCTCACCCRTCTAATCTGGCTGYTGAGCAGGTTGAGGGCCACACAGAATGAACAGTTCAATCAATATTCTGAACTATGGCTGTGCTGGTTTTGGAGACTGGATTCTTTGGGCCCCCTAAATCTCACTTMTTCCTCTGGCTAATAAATCTGCGCTATGTAGAGGCTTTTTTTTCGTAAACACCATAGTGTGTCACAGTGTTGATATAATAGGATGTTTTTGTTTTTTTCCTCTTCTTCCCTTGTGTGGTWTTTTTTAGTTTTTCTGTTGTTCTGTTGTTATGGTAGCGCAACTGTGTCTTGCTCCATGACCGGTCTTAACCGCCCCCTCCCCACTTCCCTGAATGTACAGCACCTTGTGAATTTCTTTCTGCGAAAGGCGCTATATAAATAAAACTTTACTTACTTACTTACTTACTTACTTACTTAATAAAAGTTGAGAATTTACTGCACATAGAAATAAGGCTGTTTTAAAAAACAGATGTCCATTTTTAAAACAATTTCTTTTAATCAGCGTCTTAATTATTTTGCAGGGTTGGAGAAAACATGGCTCTTACTGCTACTTTATTGGAACTGAGACAAAAACCTTTGATGAAGCTAAAGAAGACTGCAAGAGGGCAGACTCCTACTTGGCTGATGTCTCAAATGGGTAAGAATATTTTGTCTTTTCAAAAAAATAAAATCAACTTTTAAATAGATTTGCATGACATTGTACCTAGAAAAACACGTCTAAAAACATGAACTTGTCTGTGCCTGAACCATAAAAAGTAACACCGGAAGAGATTTCCAACCCAAACAATCACAACTCTAACTTTTTACGTTATTATGATTTTTGTTTTTATCTTTTGCAAGATTAAACAAAACAGTGATCAGAAATGTCTTCTTTGTTCAGTTGTTCCCTCTTCAGGGAGTCATCCTCCTCTATCTTGGTCTGTCTTCAGCATCCTTTTTCCTCATACAAGCTACCTCCATGTCCTCTCTAACTGCATCCATATATCCAGTGGTGGGCACAGTTCCCCTAAAGCACTAAAGCACTAATAGGGGAACTATTAGTGAACTGTTCTTGATTAGTGGTTTTGCTATTTTTTAAATTCATTAGKGTTAGRKTTARCKCAWATGTGTGTCAATTATCTACAAGGTCATGTGTCAAACTCCAATTTGGCCCACCAAGGGCACTAAGTGACAATATTCTGCACACAGTAAAYATTGTCTCATGTTGACACTGARGAATGTTCCATGTCTCAACTGGGCTATATTAGTAAATTAGAATTAGCTGTTACTAAATTCTTCAGTGCGTTAGTGCTTTAGAATTACGGGACATAAATATTTGAGTTAGTGTTTTGGGGCTAGTATAACTAATATTTAGATTAGTGCTGCCTACCACTGCATTTTGGGCTTCATTTTTATCATTTTATGGTCTTTTTTTAGCATCCTTCTACCAATATACCCACTATTCCTCCTCTGGACATGTCTAAACCATCTCAGTCCAGTCTTTCTAACTTAATCTCCTAATCGTTCAACCTGTGGCGTACCTCTGATGATCTCACTCCTATTTTTATCCATACGTCACTCCCAAGGAGAACCTCAGTATCTTCAGCTTCCATTTCAGTAACTGACCTTTCTGTCRGTAGTGTCTCCTCACTGCTGGTCTCCTCACTGAAGAAACAAGATCATTTTGAACTTTTCTAACTGTATCTACAGGGTGGATAATGCCTTCCTTGTGAGCCTGGTGGGACTGAGACCAGAGAAACACTTCTGGCTTGGACTCTCAAACCAGAACAACATTGATGTTTTCGCGTGGACCAACTCAGAGTCTGTCAGATTTACTCACTGGAACGCTGGGATGCCAGGTACAGAAACGTGTGCAAGCCCAACCTTCCATTAAAAGCACAGCYAAAYGAATCCCAACAAACAATGTTTGACGTCTCCCTACAATATCACAGGCTACCAGCAGGGCTGTGTTGCCATAGCCACTGGGATTTCAGCCGGACTCTGGGATCTGCTGCCCTGCACCAATCAGGAGAAATACATCTGCAAACACATGGCCGAGGGGGCCGTTGCAACAGTGCCACCACCGACTCAGCTGCCTCCCCAGTGCGCAGAAGGCTGGAATCGAGTGGGAACAAGGAACATGTGCTCGAAGGTGAAAACAAGTCACAACCTTTAACCTACGGACAAAACAAAAGACAAACAATTTTCACTGGAGAGATCTGTCACAGCTGAATGACGCAAACCCAACTTGTATCCCCTTGTCTCTTCTTTCATCTATTTCAACCGAAACTCGTCTCGTCTTTAAGTTCTTCACAGGTCCGAGGTCACACGAGAAGACCTGGTTTGAGGCCAGAGATTACTGCAGGGCCATCGGAGGAGATTTACTGAGCATCCACAGCACAGCTGAGCTAATGGTGAACCAGTAAGTACGAGTTATGTGCTGCTGTAAACTAAAGCTGCTTAACAATTTATATAGAAGTATATGTTACAATGATGACGTCAAAGAAAGAATTGAGTATAAAACCTGAAAGTCAGGTAGAAATTTATGCTGTTATTCAGATTTTAATTTTATTGTTAAGATTTATGAGAAAATATTAACACTGCACACTTTAAGGGAAAGGGAAAGGTCAACATCTCATTTTATTTTATTCCTTACAGCCGAAGTGGTAGRGGTTGGATTGGACTTCATGTTGCAGATCCAAACACTGGTTTTACTTGGAGCGATGGAAGCCCGGTCAGTTACTTCATTCTGGACCAACAAATAATTCTTCCTTATTTTAGACCATAAATATTAAATACAAATAAAAAAATGTGATCTTATTGTGTTTGATTTCCAGCTTAACTTCCAGCACTGGCAGGAAGGAGAGCCAAACAATTTTAACAACGATGAATCTTGTGGCGAATTCACGATGCACAGCTGGGATGAAATCGGACTGTGGAACGACCTGAACTGTGAGAGTTACAATGACTGGTTCTGTCAGATCCGTGCAGGTACAGATGAGAAAACACTCAAGCTGTCTCTTTGAACGATAAAATGGTTTTATACTCACATCGTGAGAATCAGTTTTGCTAAACATGTCAAAAAGTTAACAAAACAGTTTTTTGGCTCTTGTGCAAAGTTTGATTTGAGGTCCATACCTCTGCTTCACTTACATCTTTTTTACATTATTCATGCCACTGTCCTTTTTGTATGATTACTATGGTGCAAAGAGCAATCAGACACATGTTGCCTCATTTATTTTCTCTTTCTTGTTTGTGTGTTTACAGGAGTAACCCCTAAACCAGCTCCTAATGATACAGCTGCTGGTAAGCTTACTTTAACGAATCACGGCTCATTGAAATCGGTAGATATTCAAAACAAAACAGACTTGAATGACAGGATTAACCTATTAGGGCAGCATTCTGTTGATTCATTGTGCAGTCGTTGAAGTTGAGGTCCAATGGAATTTTGCATTGCCTTAACTCCCATGCAGATTTTAATACGACTGCGGATGGTTGGATACTGTGGAGAGGAAAACAGTATTTTATTAACAGAATGGCGAAGTCGATGGAAGAAGCTCGCCACTTCTGCCAGCAGAGACACGGTGACCTGGCAGTGATCAACAGTAAAGAAGAAAACATTTTCATATGGAAACAGGTGGGCGTTGTTGCCCTCCAACACACGCAAAGTTTAGTAACAAAAAAGTGATTTTTCATTGCTTTTTTATTTTTAATTTTTTCCATGTGCACTCATAGATCTCCAGAAGCTATGGATCCTATTACATAGGTTTGTCCGTGGATCTTGATGGGTCATATTGGTAAGTAAAATCAAACACCACAAASATAAAACAATTTGTTGGTTCTAAGATGGATATTTAACTTTTGAGGAGCACTTGAAATGACCCACAAGGTCTCCGTTTTAAAATGAAGACCTCTGGGATCATTTTGACCAAAGGATAATTAGGGGAGCACCACTTTTATAGGGGCCACCCTTTTGGTGCCCCTGTCACCAAACTTCACCTCCCTAAAGCTTTTTATTAGAAACTGGACAAAAAAGCTAAATAAAAAAAGTACAAACAATTTCTTAACCTCTTATTTTAAACCAACATGTCTGTCATTTAAGGTGGTTGGATGGTACTTCAGTCACATATAAAAGATGGGATGAGAATCAGCCGAACACTGAGGCGTTTGATGAGAACTGTGTCGCRATGAGTTATCACATGGGTGAGTTAGAACGTCACAAGTTCTCAGATTAAAGTAGGATTAGAAAACAGATGAAGATATCTGTGTGAAGATGAGTACACCACTCTCTGAATCTTTGCTGGTCCTACAGGTTACTGGCGCACTTCCAATTGTGGAAGAGAGTTTCAGTCCATTTGTAAGCGAACGACCGTTCCAGCTGTGAACACCACYGCAGCCCCAACGAGCCCTCCTAAAGGAGGCTGCCCAAACTTGTGGACCAAGTTTGGCTCAAAGGTAACGAAGTCACTGTCAGCTTGTAAATGTTTGTGTTTGTTTGCAAAACAGTTAACATATAAAAAAAGCTTCTAAACTCAAAGGATGAACAAGTGTGAGTTGATACAGAGACAATTTAACATGTTAGATATTCAGATGTTAGCAGTACGTCACCAACACATGATGTCTCAATAATTGTCAGTTGTARATAGGATCTCCTCATTTCTTCAGCACACACTGCACACTATCCAGGATGGCACAAAAACTGGACAGAAAAGATGCAAAAAAGCTGTCAAAAATYCAAAGAAAACTTTTAAAGACCTAATTTGAATTGAAYGAAGCCTGGAAAACTGTTGATCAGAACCATTGTCAAAATGACAAGAAAGTCCTGCAGGTCTTTAAAGCATAAAAAGGGTAGCTTTTAATTTTTTGCAGAGTACTTCACAGAGCAGGGATTCTTAAACTTTTTACCTCAAAAAAGATAAATGCCTGTGACCCCATCTATTGTCGATTTGGATATACTAATAGCTTTAAAGAGGACTTTAAGAAAACAGTTTTCACTAACACAGTACTTATTTTTTTTATTTTTGATAAAGATTTTTTTCTTTTTGAAACAAGTCAGGTAAATACCTTAACACTTTTTTTAAATACAAGTTTATATCCAGAGGTTATCTGAGGACGCAGATTTTGGGTTTCATGACTCACTCTTGCTGAGCGCTTCATAAATTATAGGTTACAAAGTTCATCAAAATAATGAAGCGACCTAAACTACACTGCTGTGRTGTATTGTGTTGCATGCAARGTTAAAGTGCCCATGGTGTCAAATTTTTGTATGAATGCGTTTTTGAAAAGATGACAKTGATAAAATATTGCAAAATAAATTTCATGCCACTAAGATGAACAGTTGTTGAGATATTTGCTTGTAGAGTAACAGGAAGTGATGYCAAAGGAAAATGTCTGAATGTGAACAGAGCGTTGCTACAACAGCCAAAAACACAGACTGTAGAGAACAATCTGATGTTTCTTTAGATTATTTCACTATCAGAGAGMGATGAAGAAGAGTCAAAGTTCAAATAATAATGTTTCATTAAACAAAGACCAGAGAGTTTTCTTTGTTGAAAAAAACTCCTTTGATGTCACTTCCTGTTTCACTTTGACTGAGTCAAGTTCAAAAGACAATATGCCAGTTAAGGGGCAAAATGGGTAAAATCGTGTGTATTATTCCAACTTTTTCAAATTTAAAGATGTTCTCTTTGACTTTTTGTATTTGAAGAATATGCATGTCACATGCACTTTAAAGGTCACTATAAACATTCCATGAAACAAAAAATATGGGTAAAATCGTGTGTATTATTCCAACTTTTTCAAATTTAAAGATGTTCTCTTTGACTTTCTATATTTGAAGAATATGCATGTCACAKGCACTTTAAAGGTCACTATAAACATTCCATGAAACAAAAAATATGTGTATTAATTGATATATATAAATTTGTTGACAGTTTTTTCCATGTTTTTTCCATGTTTTTCACAGTGTTATAGGATGATAAGTGACCGCAAAACMACATGGGAAGATGCACGACAACAGTGCATCAGTCTGCAAGCCAACTTAGCCTCCATTCCCACGAGACAAGTGCAAGGTTCATTCCATTTCTCTATTTATGTTTTTATAAGGACATGTATTTATACAGAAAAACTGTACTGATCACATGGGACAGTTTTGCTTTAAAAAAAGTTGAATGCACTTTGTGTAGYTATTCAAAATTTGTTTATGAATTTAAAAAAATCCATTTATTGTATTAATATTTCATTGGGATCATGTTGCTTAATTTGGTACGTTATTGTTTCTTTCATTATACTGAGGGTATTGTAACAGTTTAACTATATCTGTCTTTAACCTTTGCAGCCCTTTTAACCATGAAAATGCTCGAGGTACCAAATACTGATTTGTGGATTGGCTTGAACAGTCTAAAACAAGAAGGATTTTTCTGGACTGACGGAAAAACACGACAATACACCAACTGGGGTTATTCTGTAAGTACACACAGAAATCAGATTAATGTTATTTTCCCCTTTTTCTATGTTTTAACACTGAAATATTGTAATCAGTACATGAGAAACATAACTTTAAWATTTGAAAGTGGGTTGTGGTAGCTCAGTGGTGAGAGCTGTGGTCTAATAATCCTGAGGCTGCAGGTTTGAGCCCAGTTTACTCTGGTTGGAGCACCTGGCATTTACCAATTACCAAATTTTCAGTTCAGGTTTGCTTGCTGCAGAAAGTAACAGCTGAAAAGGAAAAACATTTAATGTTTTGATCAATTTTTGTCTTGCAGAAAAATCAACGTCGTCCTGGATCATTTTATCAAAGATGGAATGAGGTAAAAGGRAAAAAAATGAAGTTGAACATGCGTGGAACATTTTTGTGTGTGATCAGATAAAATTATGTAAATGGTCAATTTGAAAGTAATGCTGAAACTTTTATGACTCGTATCCAGGAAGACTGYGTGGTGATGACCAGTAAGCCTTCTTTTGGGATTGGTAAATGGTTGATTAAGTCCTGCAATGACACCAATGGATATATCTGTCAAAGGAATGTGGGTAAGTTACTCCCTTTATCGTTTTTGTTTGAGCTTTGATATRAAAGAAACAAAGTTCAGTGTTAGAGAAAATATTTCACTGCATTGCTTTGCATAAATTGAATAAATTCCAATTGCAGTCCAGATTTCTCTGATATATATATTTGGGCGGCTGTGGCG